GGTGGTGGTAATGATGGTGGTGATGACGTGGAGGTGGTGGTGGTGGTACAACGATGGTGACAGTGGTCATGTCGGGATGATGGTAGTGGTGGTGATGATGGTAGTGGTGGAGAGTAATTAAGAGAGATAAGTGTTTCTCATTTTGTGTCAGGGAACAAAAAAGCAGAAATTTTTTTATTCTTTTTTTTGTTCCCTAGCACAAAAATTAAACCGGTTCATCCCGAGAACAAAAAAATAAATCAATTTTACCAAACGAGTTTTCTATCAATGGTGGTGGTGGTAATGATGGTGGTGATGACGTGGAGGTGGTGGTGGTGGTACAACGATGGTGACAGTGGTCATGTCGGGATGATGGTAGTGGTGGTGATGATGGTAGTGGTGGAGAGTAATTAAGAGAGATAAGTGTTTCTCATTTTGTGTCAAACAAAAAAGCAGAAATTTTTTTATTCTTTTTTTTGTTCCCTAGCAAAAAATTAAATCATCCCGAGAACAAAAAAATAAATCAATTTTACCAAACGAGTTTTCTATCCATTTATATTCCCAGAGTATAAATTAAAAAAAAAATTAATTCTGAGAAAGTTGTCATGTACACCCTACCCACCCGAATAGCACCTTTAACAATTTCAGTAGTATAAAATTCTGGTTTCCATTCTTGCTGACCCAACATCACATCCCAGAGGCCCAAGAGGGCAATTACATAGTAAATACAAACAGTACGGGGCATAGACACCTCTAAAATATCTGCAGTAGGAATTTTTTTTATTCTGATCCATGACCATGTTACTGTTTAATGATTCTTTTTCAAAAGGGGTAAAATTTCATCTCATTTATATTTTTTTTTTTTCTTAAATTTTCCCTTCATCCTTTATTTCTCCTATATTTAGAAAAGGAGCTGTTGCTCCGGACCACAGCTAAGAAGCTCCCGCAGTAGGAGGTGATTGCCATTCGTGAAAGATAATGTGATGGTCTTAATTTGGGACCAATCATTGTTTGGGTAGCATGGTGTTTTGTTCATTTGGGACCAATCCTAATGTCTTCTGCTGTTCTCTCCTCTACCTTTTTTTAATATTCTCTATATAGTTGATGATTTTATGGCTAGCATCGTTGGGTCAAGTGAAATGCTCTACAAACAGTTACTTTTTTCTCCAAGACCATTGCATCCATGTTGTGACCGTGAAAATATATTTCCATTTAATTTCTGTGTTCATACTATACTCTAAGGACATGTTTTGTTGTAAATGTAAACCCATGATTGAAGCCATATGTGAAGAAGTGAATTATCTTGTTGGAGGAAACAAGCTGAATCCATATTCTTGAAGGCGGAACAAATATTGGGTACTCTTGCTGTATAGTGTATATACATCCCTTCTAAAAAAAGGGTAAAATATTGAGATTTAGAGGAAAATAAAAATAAAAATATGAATTTTAATAAGATAAAAAATTTCCATTTTTAAAAAAAGGAGCACCAATTAGTACCCAGGATTTGTTCCTTGAGGCAGTAGGACAGTCCCGATTCGTTGTGGCCCACTCCAACTCCTTTTCAAAAAATTGTTGTTATCTAGGGAGACTTCATACATAAGCTAATAGATGCTAAGTATGCCCATTCCCTACCATTGTTTTGGGCTTAATTGTATTTTCAATTCCTTTGTTATGGGCAAGGCTATGGCTAATCACCATTTTGGTCCACCGATAATTTTTTGTTTAAATTTAATTAATATCTTAATTTTTATTGTTATAATCAGTCCTTTTTGTTGGTCTTTTTACTCTATATTTTTTTAAAAAAAATATTCTAATCGGTTCATTGATTCGCAACTAATCTGATTTGAGACGGGTCCAAGATTAAAAATTTAAACCCCTCCCAAATATGGTACTGGAGAGATTCGAACACATACTCTCACCCCCACCTGCTTAGTTTCCATGCTCCAACTGAGCTACCACAATTTGGTATTACTCTTAAATTTCTAAATCCTAATTTTCTACTCAAATAATTAAGAGTTTATGACAAAATTAAGATGGAAAGTAATTTGAACAATTTAGAATATAGAAATTTAATAATAGTTGATTTTTTTTTTTAAAAAGTGAGGTTAAGATTTTGAAGAGAAGAAAATTTAGAATTTTTATTTGTTTTGGATGAAATGTGATGTTTTAATTAGTGGGTTTCGAGTGGAAGAGGGTTTAAAATGGTTTAATTAGTTCAGCTTATAGAGATTTTGAATAGAAATAAATATTTAAAAAGTTATAAGGAAAGAAAAAAGAACTTGATTATGACATTTAAAAAATTAAGAAACTAAATTATGGCCAAAATCGTATATTAGCCATAATAAAGGGAAAGTATAATTAAGTTTTGATTTTACAAAGCCAAATGGAGGAGGATGACAATTACTTTAGCCTACATTTTTTACTATTTTTTTCGCAATAATCGATATAATATCGTATATTAGCCATAATAAAGGGAAAAGTATAATTAAGTTTTGATTTTTCAAAGCCAAATGGAGGAGGATGACAATTACTTTAGCCTACATTTTTTACTATTTTTTTCGCAATAATAAATATAATATTAATTTGGAGTAGGTAAACAAAGTTAAAGTTTCCATTACGACTTCGTATGCAATAATGGAACTATTCGTGCACTTAACATTAGTCCCCACTTGTTTATAGCTTTTTCATTATATAATTAGAATCCAATTCTTCCGTGAAATCATTGGACACGACACCGTAATTATTTTGCATTATCGCATTATCATGTCTATAATACTTTCCTAAACCCTAATTTCCTTCCTATGATATCTTCCACTTCAATTTGATAACCGCAGCACCCCAGTCGTTATTTTAAAGTTTAAACCCTAAATAGCCCCGCCCCTGCATTCCGTCCAGATTCATGTGTCCACGCCCACCCGCCCCCAAAAACACAAGCACAAATCGACTCCGTACGAATGTCAGATGCTAATGTTCCACGCGCTTTATTTGACTTTAAGAGCGCGTGCTTTTTTTTCTGGGACTCATTTGGTTACTCGATCCCAAATTCCCAATAACTTAATTAAAAGTACGTAATTTTTTTGTGAATAATTAAAGAGAAATGTTTTTCTCAAGATACATAAAAAATTTTATCTCATGTCACAGACACATCGCAATTTGAGTCAGCCTTTTTTTTTTTTTTTTCTTTTATCCGTGAGACCCATCCAATTATGTGTCTACATGAGATAATATTATCTCATGTAGCATGAGAAAAGCATTGCCCATAATTAAAATATACAACTATATACACGTAAATTTTGCATAATTTTTAAAATGAAGTTATATTAAAATTAAAAATTGTTATATTTTTTTGAGTTTGACAATATCTATTAGCCAACTTTATTGCAATGTATTTTGATAAGTTGTAGTAAAATTACTTTTAATCAAAATTATTGCAAAAAAGTATATAAGAGTGATGAGTTTATTATTTATCATTATAACATAAGTAAAGACAAATCATTAAATGTCTACAAATATTTTTGATATGAATTACATGAAAATATACACATAAAAAGTAGCTTAAATGTTAAGTAAGCTTTATAATGAAATAATATGTTACATAAATTTAAGTTTAATATTGAAGAATCTCTAAAATATTTAAGTAAGTTTTATCAAGTACTACGATTACTTGATAAAATATTATTATAAATGATACTCATAAAAAAGTAGCTTAAATGTTAAGTAAGTTTTACAATGAAAAAATATGTTAAAGAAACATAGGTTTAATATTGAAGAATCTCTATAATATTAGATTCACATAACGAAACACCTATGAACATTGCCATACTGACAGCTAAAATATAAGAAATCAGAACTAGTTTCGCACATAAAAAATGTAGGAAGATATATATAAATTTTGTATCTTTAATTTATTATAAGACTTTAAAAGTTTTAATTATAATTTAAATATGCGTTTTTACATTAGAAAAAAGCATAATTATAGGGGTGTTCGCAGTCTGGATTGGATCGGTTTTGGAAGCAAAAATCATCCAATCCAATTCCTTCGGTTTGATCATATAATCATCCATTCGGTTTGAATTTTTTTTCAATTCGATCCGATCCAAACCAATTTTTTTCGATTTGGATTGGATCCGTTTTCGATTTTTTGAAAATTATAAAATTTATTTTATGATTATTGTGCAAATAACATCTTTTGTATATATTGGTTTTGTAATTTTTTTTTTAAATACAAAACCATTGGTAAACTATAATATAGTGCTTTTTTTGGACAATGAAATATGAAGCTCTACAAAGATAAAATTTTGCTAAAGAAATGTGACTTAATTTTTTCTTCGGTTTAATTGATGGGTTAATGAGTCTTGAGTTTAGAAATTTTTAGGCTATGATTAGGGAAAGATCCAAGTAGGAAGAGGGAAATTAATATATTGGATCGGTTTGGATTTGATCGGTTTTCATCAATCCATCCAAAAACCGATCCAATCTAATTAAAATTTGCGATTGTTTTCCGATTTTCGATTTTTCGATTTTAGGTTTATTCAGTTTTTCGGTTCGATCACCGCGATTTGAATCAGTTTGGATCGATTGATGAAGCCCTTGTTAATAACTAACTCATAGTTTAAATTTTTGCAATGAATTTAAATTTAATGGTGGGAATTGAAGATCTTACTGTTAATTATTTTCATTTATTAAAAGTAACCATAATAAAGAAAAATTATTAAAACAAAATACACATAATCTTGGATATATTTGAAATATGATAATTCATTTAAACAAAATTAAATTATAGTTTATACAAAATTTAATCCAAGCATAAAAATTAAATTTCAATTAGCAGTTCGGAGGCGTGGTAGGGTAGCAGAGGAGAGAATGGGAGCGTGGTGGGTGTGCGCGTCTCAGACATTCCTCATACAAAGAAAGCGAATATAACTTTGAAAACGTTCTCGTGGGAGGCACGTGACACACCACCAGATATTATATAATCCAGTAGAAACAAAGCTAAGTTTGGTTTTCGCCTACTCAATTAATTGAAGGGAGAATCTCTCATTTCTCTATTAATATTATTATTAAGTCTCAACAGAAAAACCCTCTTCATCTTCATCATCTTCTTCTTCTTCTTCCAATTTTCCCTTTGTTCTTTTCTCTTCACATACATGACGACGTCGTTTGGAGCAGCTGCGAGCACAGCTACGCTCAAGGACCCCAGGGTTCAGATCCCGAGCTTTCATGGATTGAGGTCTGCATCAGCATCAGCATCATCTCTCGCTCGCAATGCCCTTTCGGTCCCTTCAGCCACTCGCTCCCTCTCACTCATACGAGCTGTCTCCACGGTTTCTCAGTTTACTTCTACTTCATTTTCTTCTTCTTCTTTTTTTTGAATTTTTTAATTTCGCTTTACTGATGCACTCTGTGTGGAACCTCAAAAATCGTGAGTGATGATAAATCATTTTTTTTTTTCTTTTTGCAACAATAGAACAAAAATCACTTGAAATTTTACTCTCTTTTGCTTTATTTATTTATCTATTCATTATTGGTTGGAGGTTCCTGCTTTGTGATTTATCTCGAATTATTGATTTTTTGGTGCCTTTTTCTCCAACTTCAGTTACTCTGTAGCCAAAGTTGGATTGATGAACATATTCAGTTCCGTTAATATTTTAAAGAGATATAATATTTTTATTCTTTTCTTTTTTTTTTTAAAAAAAAAGATAATTCAGATTTTCATCTGATTAATTATATGGTGGTAGCTAGACTCTGGAATATGGAATATGGAATCCCATTTTGATAAGTTGTTGTGCTTGCAATTTCTTTGTAGCCTGCAAAGACTGAGACTGCCACTGAGAAGCGCAGCAAAGTTGAAATATTCAAAGAACAAAGTAATTACATAAGATATCCTCTTAATGAGGAGTTGTTGACGGATGCACCTAATATAAATGAGCCTGCCACACAAATGATCAAGTTTCATGGTAGCTATCAACAGTACAATAGAGACGAACGTGGTTCGAGAACCTATTCGTTCATGATACGTACTAAGAACCCTTGTGGGAAAGTTTCGAACCAACTTTACTTGACAATGGATGATCTTGCTGACCAGTTTGGAATCGGGACACTTCGTTTGACCACCAGACAAACGTTTCAGCTCCATGGTGTTGTCAAGAAGGACCTTAAAACAGTAATGAGCACCATTATTCGCAATATGGGCTCGTCTCTTGGTGCGTGTGGTGACCTAAACAGAAATGTACTTGCTCCTGCTGCTCCGCTTGTAAGAAAAGACTACCTCTTTGCTCAACAAACTGCAGAAAACCTTGCTGCACTCCTGACTCCCCAGTCTGGTTTTTACTATGATATTTGGGTTGATGGAGAAAGGATTATGTCATCAGAACCACCTGAAGTAACTCGGGCACGAAATGACAATTCTCATGGCACAAACTTCCCAGATTCACCTGAGCCCATCTATGGAGCTCAGTTCTTGCCAAGGAAATTTAAAATTGCTGTAACGGTGCCAACTGATAACTCAGTGGATATTCTCACAAATGATATTGGTGTTGTTGTTGTTACTGATGATAATGGGGAGCCTCAAGGGTTCAACATATATGTAAGATGGATTTAAAAAACAGTTAAGTGAAAGTTTTTCTGCCATTATTCTAACTGGGATGTTGTAATTATTCTTGCAGGTTGGTGGTGGAATGGGAAGAACACATAGGTTGGAAACCACTTTTGCCCGCTTGGCTGAACCATTGGGTTATGTACCAAAAGAGGATATTTTGTATGCAGTGAAAGCAATTGTTGTTACCCAACGAGAAAATGGGAGAAGAGATGACCGCAAGTATAGTAGAATGAAATATTTAATCAGCTCTTGGGGAATTGAAAAGTTCAGAAGTGTAGTTGAGCAATATTATGGCAAGAAATTTGAACCTTTCCGCAAATTGCCGGAGTGGGAATTTAAAAGTTATCTTGGATGGCATCAGCAGGTTGGTTCTCCAGATGAATGAATAATATCGATGTCTTTATGCCTGCTTGTGGATATACTTCGTATTATTGTTTGTCGATGCACAGCATTCATAGTGATGTAGATTTTAACAGCTTAATGTCTATTTATGATTCCAATAGATGATATGGTGACAATGGGCCTTTATACTTGCCATCTTACCTGCAATTGCAAATCGTACAACTGTATCAATTTTGTTTTTCCTGAAAAGGTATGCTAGGTATAACGTATAAATTTACAAAATATATGGAAGATTAGGTAAATGAAGATTATAGTTAATTTTGATATTTTGATGCTTTGTAGATTTTACTATGTGAAAGAACCACAGCCATATCTCCCTTTTATGTGGTTAAGCAATCTATAGTTGGTTCATTCTTTGGTGATATGTCATTAACTAAAATATAGTTCCGCACTCTTATGGTATATGGGTTCATTTGTTGGATCTCATCTTCCAGGGTGATGGCAGTTTATTTTGTGGGCTTCATGTTGATAATGGTCGTGTTGGTGGAAAAATGAAAAAGACATTGAGGGAGGTTATTGAGAAGTATAATTTGAATGTTCGGATCACTCCAAATCAGAACATCATCTTGACTGATATTCGTGCTGCATGGAAGCGTCCCATCACAACGACTCTTGCTCAAGCTGGTCTGCTGGTGAGATGTTTTCATGTTTACGTATTATAACCTAATTGTTTTCTGTCTTAAACTATCTTTGTTAAAAAATTATTTACCTAATTCACTCGTCCCTGCATAGTTGACACTTGACATTGCTTGACAACCATACATTGTGTTTTTCATTTAGAGGTCATAAACTCAAAGTAGTTCTAGTGTGTTGCATTTATATCATTATCGCAAAGATAACATTTTGTAATTTTTAGGTGTTATAGATCTGATTAGCTGCTGCTATTTTTTTATGGGCAGGACTAAGGAATGTTAGAATTTTTTTTTTTTGTTTATACAATTTTTCGTTATAGATCTCGTCCTTACTTTTGTTTCTGTTTATACAATTTTTCATTATTAGTGCCTATCATAATTACCTGTTTTGCTGTGAACAGCAACCTAGATTTGTAGATCCCCTCAATATAACGGCAATGGCATGCCCTGCTTTCCCATTATGTCCACTGGCAATTACTGAAGCTGAACGTGGGATACCAAACATTCTTAAGCGGATTCGTGCTGTTTTTGAGAAGGTATTGCTGCAGATAGAAGTATATGACAGTATTGTTTTGATGGAGATCACTGATCAGGATACTTTATGATTATCTGTCTGCCATTCAGGTTGGTTTAAAGTATAACGAGTTTGTAGTTGTAAGGATAACTGGCTGCCCTAATGGCTGTGCTAGACCATACATGGCCGAACTTGGACTGGTTGGTGATGGCCCGAATAGCTATCAGGTATGTTATTCAGTGGCTCAACGGCTCAACCCACTTAAAGTAGAAAATTCCAAAATTCTATCATGTTCACTTTTTATTTTTTACCTTCTGATACAGATTTGGCTTGGAGGAAACAAGAATCAAACGTCATTAGCTCAAAGTTTCATGGACAAGGTGAAGCTTCAAGACCTGGAAAAAGTTCTGGAGCCTTTGTTTTATTACTGGAAGCAAAAGCGTCAATCTAAAGAAGAATCATTCGGTGACTTCACAAGCCGCATGGTGAGTTTTTACTTTATGCTTTTTATTTGCATCTCTGAGCCATTTCTATTAATTCTTTAATCTTTAAAATGCTTATTAAGTGATAGGTGGATTTTGGCCAAAGTGACACCATTTTCTGTTTCCAGGGATTTGAAAAGCTTAAAGAACTTGTTGAGAAATGGGATGGTCCAGTAGTAGCACCAGCACGCTACAACCTCAAGCTTTTTGCCGACAAGGAGACATACGAAGCAGTGGATGAATTAGCAAAGCTTCAAAATAAGAGTGCTCATCAGCTGGCCATGGAAGTTATCCGCAATTTTGTTGCTTCCAACCAAAATGGAAAAGGTGAATCATTTTATTGACTTGGACAAGGAAGACGTTTGTGATGTTGCTTTTTGGTTGACTGGAAATATGGATAGACGACTGAACATAACTCTCTTTGCTGTTACTTTGTGGTAACCGTGGGGGTGGACTGAATTAATGCTTGGGTATTTTTTTTTTATTAACTTTTATCCTAAACAGCTTTCAGCTAGTAACTCTTGGTACATGATTTTGATTATAAGTTTTTCGGAACACAAAATAAGGCTTTCTATCATTTCTGTATCGAATTTTGGGTGTTAACAACTTACCCCCCACCCCCCAAACACAACAATTTATCCTGTTAGGTAATCCTTTCTTTCAGCTTTGTTCTTGCTCCAATGAAGTTAATTAACCGGGATTTGTTTATTGTAATCTGGTTAATTAGTGATTAACTACAGATTGTGGTGCATCTGGGAAACATTTGATGTGGTTGGGCTAGAGCCTAGAATAGAAGGATTTCATTTATCATGATCCCCCTATATTTATGTTTACTTGTTCAGTTTTTTATTTTATTTTATTATTATAGCAAATGAATTCGCGCATAAAAGAATTTTTTTAATAGAATTACCACATATCACTCCTTCATCCGAATTTTTATTTAGTAATTGTCCCTTTTTTCCAATCCGAACTGAGTGTAAGCATTTTGTTTCAAGGTTCTCTTAATTGTTTTTAGTACATAATCAGGAGCCGGGATGAGGGAAATTGCCAACTGACTGTATGTTTGGATTCTAGGAAGCACCAACATTTCAAAAACTCTAACGTGTCGTGTCTTACACTTTTTGACACTCCAACACGCGTTATATAAATTCAAAAAAAATTCAAAGGTTGCGTTGCGTTGAGTTTTTAGTTCCAACTATTAGATTCGTTGGATTACAATTATCATTTAATATAAATATTTAGGATATCTTATGTTTCTTTGCAAAATTGATGAATATTTTAAGTTTAATTTTATTTTTTTGTTAAATTATTGAATATTAAATATAATATACACTACATAAATTAAAAATATTATTTGATATCAAAACGTGTCCTAACATGTCGAAATCTAATATTTTTTAGAATTTACGAGTTGGAGTGTCGTGTCGTATCGTGTCACGTGTCGGTATCGGTGCTACATAGTTTGGATTTACGTCTCCATACTTCACTTCTAGTCTTGCAAACGGAAATATGATTTGGAAAAAGAAAAAGAAAAGAAAATATATGTTTGCTTATTTTTAACTAAAATCAAGTTTGTTCCGTTTCATTAAAAATGAAAAAAAAAAAGTTGTGTTGAATATAGAATTTTATATTAAGTTTTACCAATAATTTGCTTTTAAGATAAAGTTTTTTAAATATAAATCATTTTAAATTAAATTTACCTTTAATTAAAAATGAGAAAAGTTATATTTACAACTTTTTTTTTAACAACCTTTTACAATCATATCTTAATACTGTTTATTTCTGTCAATCAACGGTTATGATTTTCGCAAATTAAACTCATTAATTAATTATTAATTCATAATAAATGATAACCGTTGATTGACGGAAATCAACGGTATTAAGATATGGTTGTAAGATATTGTAAAAAAAAGAAGTTGTAAGTATAACTTTTCTCATTAAAAATTATTTCACAAAATCAACACCATTAAAATTAAATTTGTACAGCTTACAAAAAATAAATTAAATTAGATTTGTACACTTTCTTCCAAATACTGAAATACACGCTTAGGTTCCGGAGCGCTTACAGGAGTTCCAGTGTTAGACTTCAATCAAACATATTAAATGCTGGTTTTTTTAATAAATATTTAAAAATTCATAAGCATAGCCGTTAGATTATTTAAACATTAATGGCTACCATATCTATGAAATATATTGGTACTGGGGTACGGTCCGAATGTTTAAGAATTTTTTTTTTAATATTATACTTATGTATTCCAAAAAATATATAATGTATACTTATTTAGTGCAACTATAATACTGTAGATGTTCTCGAACTGAGCCAAATGCCACCTTTTAGGCTAATAGTTTTTAAGACGATTGAAGAAACACCAATATGAAATTATGCCATCTGCACTCTCATTGAAATTTCTCTGTTTTTTTTTTTCTTTTGCTTGGGAGGCGTTGTTTATGGGGCTTACAAAAGTATATTAGTAAGAACATTAGTTTTCTTTAATTATACACAGGTTTCTTCTTGTTTATTGGCTAATAAAACAATGAGACTTTCAGTTTAGATTTAAGTAATCCAACTATTTAAATCAGTTAGTCGAATCGGATGATATAATAAGAATAACTCACATACATCAATATGGAATATATTAACATCAATGAAATTTGTACAAAAATGTTGATTTTTTGTTTTAAAAAAATTAATAAAATCAATAGTCAAATTGTTGAATTGTATGAAGTATGCACAGGTTAACTTAATCGAATTTCAACTAATTTAGACTAGTTGGTATCGATATCCAATTCTATTTTAAATACATGCGCGCATGGGCGATTGAAGTTAACGTGAGGATTGGTGTTCTCAGCTCCCTAAACTTTAATATTATTATACATATAAATAATGTTATTTTTCTATATTTATATAAAATAATATTTTTATAATAATAATAAGGGGTTGTTGTTTTTCATTTTAAATGATATAAGTTATGTCATTTTAGGAGAAAGATAGACACAGAAAAGTGGAAATCATGGGAGAGAGAAAGTGAGTGGTTTTTTTTTAATTTAAAATTTAAATAAAAAAATATTTTTGTGTCTGTCTTTTTTTTTTTTTTGGAGTTACTCAACCCTAATTATCTCTTTGAGACGAGTTGGCTCCCTCCGGTATCCCCACGAGCTTCGACTCTTTGAGCCGGCTATGGGACTAATCCGGAGTGCGGGGGAACAATGATGGCTAAAGGTTCAGTCCCCTCCCCAAGAATGCATTCAGCGGGAATCGAACACATATTCAACTCCACTAACTCAGCGCCAAGTTACCAACTGTCTCTCTATTAAAAGGACAGAGTGTTATGTCATTTAAAATGACAAATACTCTTCCCTAATAATAATACACTATTAGTATTAATAGTATAATACGAAGGCAAAAGTCGTAACAAGAACTAAGGAGATGTTTGTTATGAGTATTTTGGTTGGAATAATGGAAAAGTGTGGTGGGGAAGTTTTTTTTACCATGTTTGGTACGAAGAAATGAAAAAAATTACGAGGATAAAAATTTCCACAATATTCCTATTTTCAACTACACACTCCTAAAAAAAATCCCACTTTTATCGTTTTGAGACAAAAATGCCCTCATTAGTGGCTGATGAATTACTAGTTATTAACGATGGGTAGAAGAAAAAATGTATAAAAATAAAGATTTATAAAATACTGAAACATATATTTATGTATGAATTAATCCAATTTTGGTAATTTCGGTTGATGGATAATTTGGTAATTTTGGTTTAAATTCCCATCAATATTTTACAATCAATCAAACGTGCATCAATAAAATTAACCCAACTTTTTCGACAAAATTTTGACCTACCAAATACATTTTCGTTACTTTCTCAGGAAAAATAATTTCTTACCATATTCTTAGAAATCTTTTTTTTTTCAATAAAAAAAATTATCTCCTATATCAAACGCCTACTAAAGAGATCTAATGTTGCGGGCTCTAATCACATATGAGAGATCTGTTAGAAATAAACTACTTCCCCCAGTAGGTCCTTGGGGAAAGTTCATATAAGGGGCAATGTAAATGTCTACGGGGCAATGTAACATATAGTTAGCAGACCAATCTACTTAATAATACTATAACTTTGATATTTTATTTTCATCCCTTATAATAAAAAATCTCGGAAAATATGGTATCTCTTGATCTTACTATGAAGTCTGTGAGCTATATATATTTGTCATATCTCCAAGATCAATATGCGGAATCTTGAGAAGTCCAAAAAAAAAATCTCACTTTAATTATATACATAATTTTATACACTGTGAGAGAAAAGCAGGTAAAGATAATAATGTATTGGCCAAAAAGTGCTTTGCATATACAGAAACAATTTTTAATTACTATTCATTGTATTGACTTCTCTCGGATACTCCCATTGGGAAGATGTCACGCCACAAGGCAAATTTGCTGTCATAATAAAATTTAAAGCAGCAATAAAAAAATAAAAAAAACTTGAAATTTGTTGGAAATTTAAGTTTATTAATTAATTAGGCACCTTTCAACTTGTTCATCTGATGAAGGCAATATATAATAGTACACTTTGTAACGGTAAAATCATGAAATTCTTCAAAACGGAATTAATTAATAAATTAAACTTAGAGTTTACTTTTTCTGCGGTTATTACAGATAAGTTATCTACAGTAAGCTCAATACGACGTCGTTTAAAAGCAAAAATTATCGTGTTTTGGTAATTTTAATTTATTTCAGTATTATAATAATATTTATATTTATAATTTTTTAAGATTTCAATATCAAAACGACATTATTTTAAAAATAAATACAAATAACTTATGTATAAACATTTTTTCCTTAAACTTATAGTCCTTTTTTCATTTCCCGTTTAACTTGTGCTTTCACAGCAATGACAGTATCATTGATATTCAAAATAGTACGGTATCATGATAAAATAAAATTAGTACGGTATCAACTAAATAATAGTAATAATTAAGCAATATTTAAGAAATATTTGAGAATTCAAGTAAATACTGATATCCTTTTAAAGGACCGTATAATCTCCCTAAGGTAGTGTTTGGTTGGGGAGAAGTGAAAATATAGATGGATAAGTGCATGTGGGTATCTAATAAAATCACGTTTGGTTGAAGGTTTTCGGTTTCTTTTCCCATCAAAGAGCTTTCCTAGCTAGCAAACCAAGAAGAGGACCAAAAATCGGATATCTTCACGGTTGAGAAAGCGTTTGAAGATATGAAATTTCTCTTCAAAATCGGATAAGTGAAAAAGCTGATGAATGACATGTCAAGTTTACCACTATTATGGTTCGAAGGATGTAATAAAACAATTTCATTTTTACGAGGATAGTTTTGTAATTTCATTAAGTTTTCCCATCAATATTTTATCTTCAACCAAACACACTACCTAAATTCAAACTCTGGTCTAAAATAGAGAAATTTTAAAACCATGATATAACAGAGCTAGTGGTAAAGACAAAAACAGTTGAAATTGGAAGTGTTGTTAAACAGTTGTGTTTTCGATACATGTTCCATCACCATGCTGTGCTAAAACCAATTGGTGCGTATCTTACTTACTCTGCGTCTTTATTACAAGTTTTCAAGAAACCTTCTGCGGTTTTTGGCTTCTTTGAAAGTGATAACAAATCAATCACAATGGGTACGATAAACCCAAGAGAATCTCACTCACCGTTGTGCACGAGACACACCAACAAGACAAGAAAGAAAGGATAACTTAATGCATTTCGTATGGTTGCATTTCATTTAACTTTATCTAATTTCAAAAATAGTAATACATAATTGCACGTTGTATTCCACAGATAAAATGTACGTGGAATTATGCATAAAAACGTATAGCAATAATCATAAATATCGATTCAAGTTGACTCCACTCAATCGAGTCAATTTAAGATGGTTTCGATAAAAAAATGTTGTTGGATAAAAAAAATTTCTGTCACAATTTTTTTTTTTTGGTTAACTTCTTTAACAAAGTTTAAATTTCAAAAAATATAAAGTAAAAAAAAAATTATTATACAAAAAAAAATTACATTATAGATAATAAGTAAAATTATTCACGTGTTACATAAATTAATTTATTTTATATAAATTATATAGTATACTATCCGGTTATCAATGAATACAGATTAATTCAGATTCTAACCGTATTAAACTCGAAAAACGGTGATTATATAAACTAAACTGATCAACTCTAATGAACAAAAAAGTAAACATGGAAACATGAGGTTGGAGTATATCATTACATTACATGCTGTTCATTGATAGATAAATAAATTTTTAGTGCTACTGTTGCAATAGCAATACAAATTCAGTACATTTCAGTAAAATTTTCTTGATGGATAGAGTGTGAGATTGGGAGTGTTGAAAAATGGTAAGAGTTAAGATAAGAATCTAAAATGGTTCACCTTCGACGGCACGGACCAGTTATATTTATTATCCCATTTATTAACTGATTAATGAGGAGCTGACAATAAGTGACAAACACCTTATTATGTGTGATTCCCATCAAAACATGCGCTGACAAAGTTTCCTAATTTCAAAATGCCCCACAGTGAAATCTGTACAAGCAAACACCAGATTCTGCAAAATTTATTAAAAGTTTGAAATATACATACTTTTAATTTAACAATTTATTTTTTTAAAACATGTCTTCTATATATACATAGGGTTTTGTATCTATCATTTAACATGACCACAACAATTTTCTTACACACACAACATTTTGTGGGACCCGTAATTTTTAAAAACAAAAAAAAATAAAAAAAAATTCGGCACGCAAAACGAATCTCTATAACATAACAGAATCACTTTTCCTACAACATAACTCTTATAAAACCCATATACATATTAACAAAGGGTTTTATTAATATTATGTGACATGATATAAGTGAATTTTCCAACTACACAATAATGGAGAGAGAGAAAGTGAATGATGAAAGAGAAAAAAACATGTGAACCCCACCTCTTTAATGTGTGTGTAATGTGTAGGAAAGTGAAGTTATGTTATGTAAAATAATAAACATAAAACCCATTAACAAAACCCTAATTTATTGTGAATATATTTATATTTAAATTTTTCATTTACTTAACATTCTGTGTTATAAAATATGCTATGTATTTTTGGGAATTTTCTTTCAAAAAATAATATTATTAAACATAAATTAGAAAGAGTAATAATCACGCAACATATATAAACCTTCCTACAAACTACTTGCATTCTTTTAGTACCAGAAAAAAAAAACAGATGCCTTTTTATTAAAAAAAAAAATACTAAAATAGTGTAAAGATTTTGAATATTAGTACTCCTAATAAATTTTAGAGTAAATACCATTTTTGGTCCTCAGAAAATTTCACGAGGCCTGTTTTAGTCCCTAGCAAATAAAAAGACCCATCGTGGTCCCTAAAAAATTTAAATTGGACCCATTTTAGTCCTTTTGAGGACTAATATGGCTCTTTTTTGAATTTGTGAGGACCACGATTTCAACTAAATGGGTCTTTTTGAATTTTTAAGGGACCACGATGAGTCTTTTTATTTGCTAGAGACTAAAACGGGCCTCGTGAAATTTTCTGAAGACCAAAAATGATATTTACTCTAAATTTTACAACTTTAAGACTGTGTTTTGCTTTTGCTAGATAAGCTTATCATCAATCCATACATTTAAAAAAGAAAAATCAAATGTAGGGCTTTTTTGCTTGGGCTAATTAAATACAACACCAAACAAACCCAATTGCTACTGCCAAAAAATAAATTAACAAACCCAACTGGGCACAAAGGAATTAAAAGTCTTAATCACCGTTGCACACATAGCAAGTGAAATAAATCCAAAACATTACTGAATCTAAAACTCATTTTTGGCACGAAAGAAAGGGGTGTTTGGTTCAAGTTTTTGGAGAAGATTACCGGTAATCCTTCTTTGGTAAATGTAATTACCACGTTTGGTAGAAGGAATAAATTACGATTCCCGGATATCCAAGGATTACCGGTAATTTGATTTATAAAGAAAAATCACTATTCAGATTACCAAAAATAATATGGTAATTCGGAATACCAATCAGAATACCAAGTAAAGGGAAAGCACAACAATAAATTTTGAGACAAAAATACTCCAATACACATAAAAATCTAGACCCAATCTATCAATTACAAAAGTAAAAATAGTTTGGGGTTATTTTTGTAAAATAACCTCATATTCCAAGTCATATTTCGTTCTAAACCAAATATGGAATCAGTAATTTTTACCAAGTATTCCCGGTAATATTTTGGCGAACCAAACACATCTTTCGTAAGATTCCAAGTAAACTCAATTTCTACTGAATTCCCATTAATCATGATTCCCGGTCACCAAAAAATTTCTCCTGTACCAAACACATCCTTAAGGTTTTGGGAGGAGTTGTGTTCAATCATAACATACGAGTATTATTATCCCAAGTTAAAAATAATTCAAAAACTTATGTATTATCCAATTTTTATCTATACCTGACATACAGTATATTATTTTGAAGTCCTTCTTTCTCTCTATTCGTCTTTCCTATAAAATATGGCTATGAGGCTATCATTCTTTCGTTTTTTTTTTTCCCACTCTTATATTAACTGCAAAATTTATGTAAAGTACCATGTATCAAAATTTGTATGTAATTATAAATTAATAATCTTACACATAGTACAGCAATTTTTTATTAAACAACATACACACGTTTTAAGGTTTATAATTTTTTTTTTTTCTGTTTAGTTCTACTAAGAGTTATAGAAGTGTGTACAAAGTTTGAATCCGAAGGCAGTCAACTTATTCAAATGTAATTCCTGAACAAAATCTGCAAATGAGTCAGAATAAAAACTCACCCTTTATTTTTTCGGCCCCAACGCAAACCATCAACGGCTAAATAGAATCTTCTTATATATTATCCCAAAAATAAAAATAAATCCTATCATATATCTAAATCGCTAGAGTATAAACTGACTTTATTTTTGGCTTTCAAATATATTTTGTATTTAAAAAAAACAAATAAGATGTAAATATTTTTGGATACTATTCGTATAATAGCTTTTTGTATATGAAAAATGTAAGTATAAGGGAAAAAAAGAGAGAAAGGTGACCTCGTGAAATATATAATTTAGGGGATCATTACCATATCTTTAGTTTTGAAAAACATATTGATGTTATACACACACACAAAAAAAAAAAAAAACGTATTGATGTTAAGTTGCGTACAAATTGGTTAATAACATGATTGTTGAAACTATTATTCAATGGAAAAGTGTTTATCCTTTTAAATAATACAATTTATGTTATTTCACTCTCATAAAAAGTGAGACTCGCACCTTTATTTTTTTTTGTCAACTCTCTCTTCTCCTTTATCTATCTCTTAAAATGACACAATTTTATCTCCTTTAAAATGACACACACTTTTTCCATTATTCAATTATGTTTCATCATATGGATAAATGATTTCTCCATCAGCCCGAGATTGTTTTGGGATAAAAATTAAGATATTTTTATAATTATAATATATTGCAGTAATATATTAATCTTTATTATTATAATTTTTTAATTTTATAATCCCAAAACGACATCGTTTTAACTTCATAAAATAAAATTTTCAATGTGAAATTTATTTTGTTGACAAAATGTTAATGATCATAATGTAAAAGAGTGAGGGAAAGAAGGTTGTTTTGGGAAAAAGGAGGAAAGAAACATAAACAAGAAGTCTTTTTCAAATTCCCAAAAAACAAGGAGTGTTGGAGGTTGGAAACAAATAGAGGCAAAAAGCACACAAACACAGAGAGACACAGACACAGACACATAACATTAACAATGTCATTAACAACACACACACCTTTCATTTGAAATCTCTGTTCTTCCACTTCACGAGGTTGTTGCACGCCTTCCACCTCTTTACCTCTTTACTCCTCTCAGCTCCACCCTCTCTCTCTCTCTCTCTCTCTCTCTCTCTCTCTCTACATGTGTATATATCTCTCTATATATATCTTGATTATTTTTCAAACACTTATTTTGAGTATCATCTTGTTCCACTGCATGAAAAAATGTCCATAACAGAATCAAGAAAACCCAAATGGCACCACCACCCGCCTCCTCCTCCAACACCAAGAATCCTGCACTTTCCTCGCCGCCCTCGCCGGAGACTCGCCTCCACCAAGGTGCCTTCCGGCGGTGGTGCGCGGAGGGACTTTAAAGGCAATAAGTTGGGGACTTTGTTTGATCGAGAAGAACGTGTTCCGATAGTGGTGTTGGATCATGATGGGGAGGGTGAGAGGAGGAGGGAGAGAGTTGAAAGTGGTGGTGGTGGTGTTGGTGGGTTGGAGTTGGAGGAAGAGAAGTGGAAGTTTCAGGCTGAAATGTTGAGGGCTGAATGTAACTTGTTGAGGATGGAGAAGGAGATTGCTGTGAAGAAGTTAGAGAGGACTCGTTCTAAAATGGAGAGAACTCTAAGATCTGCTGTTTATACCCTTGTTTCTGTTAGTGCCTCTTTTTCTCTCTCTTTTGCCACTTCCTTCGTTGATCGTGTTATATCGTTTATTTATTTATTTATTTATCTTTTTTGGCTTTAAAGAATGCAATTTGATAGGTGTTTCTATATTTAGATTAAATGAATGTCTTATTTGAACTTTATTATGATTTGCTTGTCTAAGATATGTTATGGTGCAAATGTTAAAGTTAATTTCCAAAATGTTAAAAAGTAGGCTTGATTTTCTATCAAAAATATTGTTCATTTTCTGAGAAATTAAATTGTTATTATCACATCTGATGCACTATGAATCATTGAATTGGCCTAATCCTGTTCCAAGTGGCTAATCATACGTACTATTTTTTTCAGTGATTTCACATGTGTTCTTGCAAGGTTCTGTCATTTATTTCTGTTTTTTGAACATGATGGTTTGTATCTTTTGATGTTTAACCTGCAAAGTGGAATGCAGGGAAGAATAAAGATTTGTGAAGGAAAGAATATTGATATGGTTTTGGATGAAGAGATTCATGAGTTGACAGAGAAGCTTCAGAAATTGCAAAAGAGATCGGCAGCAAAGGATTTTGAGGCTAGGAAAAACAAAAATTTTGACAAACAAGTTTCTGTTCTGCAGAGACGACTGGAGAGGATTGGAGGACCATCAGATGAGATATATTTGAGGGAGTTTCAAGAGCTGGAAAATGTAAGCTTTTCCATTAGAAGAAGTAGCAGATTTGATGATGGCATTGTTGCAAGTGGAAAACTAAATGTAAGTAAGAAATAACCACAATGACTTGTCTTGTTGCTTAGCTTCTGTATCCATCTTTTGAGTTTTGTCTACTCTTTCCACCTTTGGAATTTCTAATCCATCTTTAGTTTATGTTATGTTATTTAAGAATGAAAGTTCCATCTCCAATAGCTATTTAATTTAAACAAAGCAAGGGAGATGAAGTTCAAAGACCAGTTATTGATTTCTTTTATGTATTTTTTTCAATCATATCATACAAAGGCATTTTTGCTTTTTCATTTTTGATTCTCCTGTTGTCTTTTTATTTTTTTGGTGTTTGTTTCTCATGGATTTTACTAACATTTACAGGTGGAGATTCTGAGAAGGAAAATGGAGGGATTATCAAAGGGAATATTATTACAGAGAATGGAGGAAGAGTATAATTCGCTGCTGTCCACTGCTAGTAGTTCTCTTGCCAGTTCTGGTTCAACTTCTAAGAGAGCTGAATTTCAAGATTCATCTTCTTCCAGAGTACCTCATCAGGCATATCCTTGATTTCTTTCCTATTTACTAGTTGATAGTAGGCTATAAAAATTAAGCCAAAAGGCCCAAAACCATTATTAATAATAAACTTTTATTTTATGATGTAATATAACATGTATTCTCTGTTGGCTACAATGAAACTTAAAAAAGCTAATCCAGTTTAATGTGACTTAAAAAACCCCTCCAATAAGAAAAACAGGAAATGAATGATTTGACTTTCTTAGAGTACTAATTCTTTTAAGAGCCAAAACCAAAAAGAATGCAGGGTGGTCAACCTTTTTCAATGTAAAACACATTTTTCATGACTTACTGAATTAAGAGAGGCAATTATTACTAAAATTTGGATTGACAAATCCTGCAGGAAAAATTCTCTTATGAAGGGAACCCGTGTTCAGGACATTGCAAGACTATTGTAAGAAGAATTGTAGAGCAAGTTAGAGCTGAGACCGAGCAATGGTCCCAAATGCAGGAGATGCTAGGTCAGGTGAGGGAAGAGATGGAGGAACTGCAGGCTTCTCGAGATTTTTGGGAAGATAGGGCCCTGCATTCTGATTTTCAAATCCAATCCCTACACAATGCTGTAAGAAACCGTTCATTCTTTTCCGTTGTTCTATGTTTCTCAGACTTCCTCTTAAGTTATTGTTTTTAAGGCTATGCTTGTAAGCTTTGTAACCTTTCTTTGCTTTCGCAATAAGCTGTTTTCTTTGCTTCCTTGGTTCACTAAAGTGGTTCAGGTACTTCATTGAGACCATAATTTCTTAACCTATGCGGACAATGTTTTAGACATGTTTCCATATTCTTCATCTGATGATGGCATTTCTAATGGATGACTTTGGCTTTGTGCAAGGATCTCATGTCATCGAAATGAAAAAATAAAAAAATAAAAAAAATTCATAAATGAGTTTTTGGCAAATAAAGCATGAGGTTTGATTGTCGGAGAGGTGCACAAAAAGGCCCAAAACATGTCCTTGCTCCTTGCTATGCATTTGGTCTCTTGAAAAGTGTATCTTGTCATTAATCTTGTATTTTCTTTCACAGGTGCAAGAATGGAGACAAAGAGCTCTTTCGTCTGAAAGCAAAACAAATGAGCTTGAAGCAAAACTCTCCATGCTCTATGGTCATCTTGAGAGCTTGAGGAAGGAACAAAATGCAGTTCAGGGGACCAAATGTTCACCTATTCCCTCGGACACACAGAATGAGTTGGAGAAGCGAGTAGTGGTTTGTTTCTCAAAGGAAAATAGCAATGTTACAGAAAATAGCAAGCATAATGAGGATTTAAGGAATGGGGAAAGAAAAGCACATGCAGCTAGAGGTGGATTCGCAGCCCCAAAACGATCACCATTACAAGACATTGGGAACAAGTCATCATTGTTGATGAGGCAGAATGGCAAAGCAGTTTTCCCTTTGCATTGTCATCTTTCTTCAAATGTGGAGAAAATAAACTAGTCACTCACTAACTCATCACTTGAATGTAGGCTCATCGGCTCTAACATAAAATTACATATCCTAACATAATGGGGAGAATGGATCCATCCAGGTGTTTCATGTTTTAATTTTTTTTTTTTATTGAGGTCTGTCATGTAATATGTAATATGCCATGAGAAAATAAGGCCAGCATTGTCAAAGTCCCATGTTAATCGATGAGATTGGAGTTTTATTTCATAAAATTCTTCGTAGCATACTTTGAGGTCTGCTAAAAATAATAATTACGTTCTCACAAGAACCGTGTCACGGTTAATAAAGACAATTTCTATTTAAATTGGATTTAACAATTAAGTGTCCATAGAATCGTAGAAAGGCCTCCAATAATATATGGTTAATACGAGCATAAAATAAGAGTACTGGAGAATGATAAGATGAATGTATAATAATATAAAGATTGATTAAGATAAAAAAAATGAAGATATTCGATCTAAAAATAAGAAGAGTACTTCTGATTGAAAAGATAAAATAACATAAATTGAAGTGATTTGAATACGAAAAAGATAAATTTTGATTTGTATGTTTTCGACTCTCCTTTTTTTCTCATAACTCTATTTTTTTATCTTCTTTTTTTCCCCCTCTATTTATGTATTTATTTCTTTATTTTCTCTTTTTTTTTTCTTTTTTTAAATTTTTAATGTTATTTATTTTTTTATTCAATTTATTTACCACAAATTTCAATTAATTTGAGATAAAACCATAAAGTACATATCATAAGTGTCCAGATTATTTTACTTTGACATAAAGTACATACCTTTTATTACAATAAAAAAAAAGTACATACCTTTGTGAGAGAACTTTGAAAACGATCTCGTGGTGACTGCACAATGTGCAAGAGAAATATTATTATTATTATTTTTGAAAAGACGAGAAATATTATTTTCCCAATATTATTAGCAGTGAAGTTTCAACATCAAAAAGACAAAAACCCTTGATATCCAATTGTTTTTTCTTTTCTTTTCACTTTGTTCTCCAGACGACGACGTTTGGAGCAGCTGCGAGCTCGGAGACGCTTTCTGGTGTTCGTGGTGACGTGTCTCAATCGCACATGGCATAGCCTCTCTCTATTTGTGACAATCTGGTTAATTTCTCTTCCTTTTATTTGTTTCGTTTTCAATTGTCATTGTGAATGCAAGTGTTTGGAAGGAAATATCAGGATCTTAACTGAACCACTCACTCTTGACGCTGATCCTTCTCTCCCTTCTTTCTCGGTGTGGGTTGATTTGTTGCTCCTTTTTGTATTTCAGTTTTTCTTTGCTGTTGATTGCCAAATTGGTATTTATATATACAAACGAGTGACTCTTCATTTCTCCGTTTTATGATTTTTGGTAATTTTATTGAAAGTTTGAAGTCATGCTGATCTTTTTTATACAAGTGAGCATTAAGTAAAAATGGAAAGCATCCAAATTTACCATGCACACTCCTTAGTTATTATGTTTTCTCAATAATTGCTTCTTAGAAATGCTCAATTCAGAACAAATTTTTACCCCCTTTTTTTTTAAGTAATCTTTCAAGAGACGAACATAAAAAAGGTCATAGCTATCTTTGCATTTCTATGAAGAAACGCAAATGGGTAAATGATTAATGTGGCTGGGCTTCTTATTTGCATTGTATCTCGTAGGTAGTTTTTGGTATTTTGAACTTTTGATAATGGGAATGGTTGTGTCTACTGAATTGCTGAATCAATGGTTCTATTTCAAAAAGCCAGTTTGGTTTAGTTCAGCTTTGGCTTTTAAACAATTAAGCTTCCTGCTAACAGCACTTTGTACGTAAGGGAGTACAATTTGTAATGTTCCCTGATAAGGTTCTAATAATAACCAAATCATTTCCAATGTATACTGCTCTAGGTCTTCCCACCTACTACTAATCTGAACATTCTTGGCTTGGCAGATTACTGATAGCTCAGTGATGTGGTTGGTGATCATTTTGATGGTGAATATCTTTAATTATTACTAACTGTATTCAAATTTTTACTAATATCAATATGTATATTTGCATCCATGTACTCATCTTCTTTGTTCTATGTATTGATCCTTACAGAATACTATTAAAAGTTTGACTATCTTAGTCTTGACCTGTAATAATAACAATCAGTAATGTCTGCTACCCACTATTATGTGGACTTACTTTTTTCCCCCTTTTCATGTAATTTCATCATCTTTTATTGTTCAGAGGACGGAGATGTCTTTCATCTACTAAATATGCAAGATTGGAAGACAAATAGAGTGCAACTGAAATATGATATCTCCTACCGCTGATTTGATAAGCCCCAAGATGGCATATTTTTGGTGCAAGATTTGTGTAGCGAAGGACAATTAGGTTCTGCCAGATAACAGATTTGACCCTGTTGGCCCATCTGAAATTAAATAATTTATTGCAATGGATCTTAGCTTGGCTGGTGATTCTTCTCCGCCTCGTCCCAGATGGAGGAAAGTAGCTTATGGTGGTATGCAACCTGGTTATGATGATAATCATACTGATGAATCTTTCCTTGAAGGAATGGTCATGAATGCCAGTGTTGTAAAAAGGGACATGCTAAAGGTGATGCTTGACTCAGTTTCCATTTCTGAATATTTATGCGTTGTCGCTCTAGTTGTCTTGGTCTGGGCTTATACACTTACATCAACTCTTGATGAAAATTCTCTCCTGTTTATTGATGTAAGTCTTCTAGTTTCAGGTTTTTTAATTCTCCTTTTTACTCAAGAAATGCTTTCCTTTAGCCTTCTCCTCCATTATTTCCTGAATATCTCCTTTTTCATAACTGGGTTATATGTTTTGGCTCCCATCTATCAAACTCTTACAAGGTCCATTAGTTCGGATTCAATTTGGGCAGTAACCGTATCACTTCTCATACTTCACCTTTTTCTGCACGACTATTCAGAATCCACTGTCAAAGCTCCAGGGGTTCTGAAGAATCCTGCATTGACCAGTTGTATCTCTGTAAATGCTTCTGTAGTCGCCTCTCTTTTTATTGCTTCTCGCCTTCCATCAAGACTACATGTGTTTGCTATCATGTTATTCTCATTGCAGGTTTTCCTTTTTGCTCCACTGGTTACTTACTGTATTAAAAAATACTCCTTCCGCTTACACCTATGCTTTTCTATCACTTTGATGGCCATGACGTTAAGTTTTGTGTACATGCTGCATCGCTTACTCTTTGTGCTGCTGCTTAGTTTGTTGGTTTTTGTCAACGTAGTCTGCCCTTATTGGCTTATAAGGATTCAAGAATACAAATTTGAGATCAATGGGCCTTGGGATGAGGCTAAGCTTTGCTTTGATATTAGAGACTGAAATCAGAACATGGTTGATATGGAATTGGAGTGCCTTATGAACTATGTTGAAGTGGGTGTTTAATTAACTGACTCCTTGTCTATTTTAAGTTATAAGTTTATGGAAACGTCCTTGCTGTTCTTATTAGAAGAGGGTAAGAAAATGACATTTGTACTCATGTTTTAGAATGATAACTGATGATAGTTTCAAAATTATTTGGGTACAATGGAAGTACATTCAGAAGAGCTCACAATTTCTTGCAGACAAATATTTGGCTGTCATTCATTTTGTACACAACTCAAACCTTCCGAGTTATGATTTTTTTTTTTTTTTTAGTACATATTGTAGTTATGATCTTATATAAGCCTTATTTCACAATAACGGTTAAACTGTTATAGAGACTACAAGCGTTCATTCCTGACGAAGTAATAATTCAATTCCTAAACTTTTCTTCTAAACTTCCAAAGGAATAATTCAATTCCTAAGCTCTTCACCTTTTCTTTGAAAATGGGAAATATTGGCTTATAAGGCTTCTTGTTTATATACCTGATGAAATCGTTGAGAAAGTGAAATTTAAATATAAAGAACAACATGAAATGAAAATGAAAGTGTTTTTTACAAAATGATGTTTCATGTAGTCTTGATGTCACAATAACCAATCACACATGATTTTGAATTCATTTACCAACCTCTCATGGGATAAATGTTTTTAAGCACGACCCTTACTTAACAGTAATAAATCATTCTCAAATATAGAGTTTGTCATAGTCACAAACTGAGAGTGGTTAAGGTTATCTGACATTTATTTCTCAAGGAGATATGGAGGATTAAAAGTTGACAATCTTCTTTTCTCTGAAACTTTCCACAGTCTCCCTGAGGCTCACTTCCAAAGGAGTAAACTCAATTCCCAAGCTCTTTGCCTTTTCCTTAGAAACCTGATATGTTGGCATATACGGCTTATCGTCCTCACAACTGCTAACATTTGTTGAGAAAGTGAAAATGTTATTAGAAAATTAAAAGAAAGGGAAAAACTTAATATTTAAATGTTGAACACACACACACACACGCATAAAAAAAAAGCTTTATATGCATTCTTATTGGAGTTATAGAAATTAAACTTACCATTCTGAAATATGTAATGTTGGGTACAGATTGCGTAAAATCCTAGCAAGTTCAGAGTAGTGTACCACTCTCTCAACCAATAAATATCTTCCACCAGCTGAAGCAATCTCATACGCCTGAATATGGGCGTTAGCAACATCTTTGACATTGACAAATCCGAAACATTTATTTGGAAATTGTGAACCTGTATCAAACAAGTTAAAAGAGTTCTTCTATTAAGCAACAGGATAATTCTTGTCTGGGGGAAAAACTCGAATATATTTGATGCATATAGCAAATCCACTAATATTAATCGTATCAACAAACAGATTAATCAATCAATAACTAATCACCAATAAATAACATATTAAAGACAATCAACAGCATATTTAGACAAATAGGGAGAGGGGAAAAAAACCCTCAACAATCACTGTAAGTTATCTTGCCTTCAATGTACAAAAAGCCAATACAAAGATGTTCCCATCATATCTTATATAGCACAAACTAGTCTTCTTAATTTCATCGATGGTTGGACAGCGCTTTATAGCTGGTGGTGTTATCATCTTTTTCTATTACAAAATTGTCTATTGTCTGTCTTTTGTGTATTCATTTTAGAGAAAATAATTATTCACCTGTCAAATAAATAAGAAAAACAGCATGATGATGGTATCGAGATAATAGTCAAGACTAAATTGATGTATTTGTTCAAGGATTTATTTTATATGGATTTATTCATTCAAAGATTATTTATATCCATTGACTAATCATTCGTCAAATTTGTCTCAAGAAAATATGGTTCTGAATCAAATTTGCAAATTTTGAAGGACTAAATTGATACAATAACAATCTTTCGAGAATCAAAATATTAATTTATTCTAATAAATAACATTGAGGTAGTAAAAAAAAAAAAACCACAAAAATACTCCTTTGAAAGGAATGCAATTGGCTTTGTGAGTTGCACTCATTTTGCTGCACTGGCGTATTAGGCTTCAGCATAAAGCAAGTTTTAGTGAGAATCCTTACCCATGCATCCTCAATGAAATAGGATAGTTCTTTATGCTTCTTTGTGGGTGACAAACCAGGGGTTTGAAAGTGAACTTATTTATCTGGTAGGTAGAGGAACTTGTGAGTTCTTTTTAAGCTTCGGCATCATAATTTCTTAACCTTGACCAAATCGAATGTGGTTACCCATAAATATGAAGTAGAGGAAGTCCGTATCAATAATTCTAACCCGTGTCCCCAAATAATAATAATAATAATAATAATAATAATAATAATTCCCCCAATCTTTTGCTGCAAGATAAAGGAAACTTAGAAAAGGATCAGGTCATGTTCGGCTCTCTTATGACATTACCAAACACACAAATCCAAAGGGCATAATAATTTGATGTGAGCCTCTAAACTATATCAGTAATAATGCATCAGAATATTCAATGGTCATTAGCCACCTTAATCTTATCTAATATCACAAAAAACCAATAATACATATATGGTAATACTTATTGTGTCTTGTTCACGTCAAGTCAATGACCATAAGATACTAATCAAGCTAGAATAAAAACAGAACTTATACTCAGTCAAGCATGATAAAAAGTGTTAACTTATGATTTGAATAAACATACCTTAAAGTTTAACTAAAAGCTGTAATTATCATAACCTACTTTTCTTATAATATTTCCTTTTTCATTTCCATATTTTCTGTTTCCCTTTTGTATTTATTCAACATAGGAACACATCATGTAATCCAGATGCAGGGAAAGAAGATAATAGAATTTTCATACGGCATAACTTCATTAGCAAATAAGAATTACCATTTATCAGGTTTAATATAGGTTCAACACTTTCGTTGACCTCTGGTTGTAAGAGAGGTCCTGCCACCATTGATGGGTTAATAGTAACCATGTCAATGCTGTTTTCGTTTACAAATTTCCAGGCAGCATCCTCAGCCAAAGTTTTTGAAAGCGTGTACCACAACTGAAAAACACAAATAGGAAATGGCAAGAATATTAATTAGAGAGCATGGAAACATACTATGGAGGAAAAATTATTACATTTGTGCAATAACATATTATAACTCAATAGCAATCTTCTATTGAATACAAGATTGAAAGCACTAAACAGTTCTCAAATAATATCAGCAATGGGATTGAGACTTGAAACAGTTTAAAAAGTTGCATGGATCATCTCTATAACAGTGGCAAAGGCATTGGTAGCAGTGGTGTCGAAAGAGGAGTGGGAGTGGCAGCAGTGGTTGAGGAAATGGTGATGGATGTCAAAAGCATTGGTAGATGTAACAGATTCCTAAACCTTCTGCTTCTCCCTTTTAATGCAATTTTGTCTCTTATTGGGAAACAGGGTAGAAAGAGAGCAAATTGACAGGAGTGACGAGAGAAAAAACTAAAATTGATTGAATGATAAAAGCGTGCTACACATTACATAACGGGCATAGATAGAGAAGCAATAATGCCCCATCGCTAACTTCCTGATTAAAGTGAACTAGTAACTGACTAATGAATCAATCTAACAAACCTATTAATGGAGTTAACCAAACTCAACCAATTAACCATGTTATATACTTGAATTTCTGGGAGGAAATCTAATTACTTAAACTTGTACTCTTCTCTTCCTTTTCACAATAATAATTTTTCTCATGTTAAAATAAAACTAATAGCAAGGTATATCCTTCAAGGCTTAGTGGATTCTGTTTTATCTTGTGACTATTGAATTCTAAAAGGCAAGGAACTTCTTTTTCACCTTAAAAACATGTTCTCAATCCACGTAATCAATTAAGCATTACTCTGTCACGAATTTCTCCTTGCTTCCTTTCTCTAGCTACAACTGTTGTCACTGATGTCATGGCTATTGATCATTTATTTTCCTCTATTCATTGTATGCTTTAGAAGGGTTTGCAAAAGCTGATCAGCTTACTAGTAACAATGGTAGAAGAAACAAAATTCAACAATTTTCAACAATTATATCTGTCATTCTTTCTGTCTCTCTCATTAGAAATTAAAAAGATATGTAAGGATAAATAAGTTTCAGCTTAAAAGGAAAGGAACGGATGAAGTGAGATTAAGATTAACATAAAATTCCCAAAAACTCAGAACAAACTACATCGAAATCACAGATTTCACCTGAATGAGCTTCAAGTTTTCCAATTCTGAATGAATGTTAGGAAAAATAGCACAAACCTTTGATTCCCTACAGAAATCTGCATTTGAAAACCATGTCTCATCAACTACTACTTCGGGACTTTTAGGCCTCTCATTAAATGCAACTGAAGAAATAGAAGAAGTTAAAACAACTCGTTTCACAGATGGAGATTTTACACATGATTTAAGAACATTAAGAGTTCCCTTCACTGCTGGATCAATTAATTCAGCCTGAAATAAAGAAAACAAGAGTTAACAGTGGATAAACAGGCAACTGATCTGAATTGAAAAGACAACAAAAAGGTAAATTCTACTCTTGACTGACAATTTTTTTTAAAATGTCAAAGCATCTCACAGAAGTGCAATTATGCTTATCCTTAATCATATGATCTGTCAACCATATAAATCATCAATAACAGGCACCCAAGGCACATAATTTCAAATTTAAAGTGTAGTTTTCATAAAGCTCCCACTATTTTCCTGATAGCAAATGACAAAATCTCAACAAAAAAAAAAGAAGAATCTAAATTTGAATTTATTTTTTTGGAGATATTCCAATTAGTTCATCGTTTCGCGACTAATCCGTTTCGGGACAAGTCCCGAAATTAAGGATTTAAATCCCTCCCAAAGATAGTACTAAAGAGTATCGAACACATGCTCTCACTCTCACTGCTCAGTTCTCTGGTGCCAACTGAGCTACCATCATTCAGTTCTAAATTAGAATTTTAACAGTGCATTCACATGTTAAATATGCGACACAGAGGAATTGGAGAGCCTTACATCACTTGTCCTTTTTATCAATTTGAAGCACCCTATTTCATGTTCTTTTGTGCAAGAGATAGGATACCTTATCATCTGCTATACTTGTATCCCACCAGCATCATTTTATTAAAATTTCATTTACGGAATGAGAAAAATATACAACGTTTCTTCTTTTAGCATAAAGAAATAATAAACATGTTTGATCAGAAGGTGCTAGATAGGTCAGCTGTTAAAGTCCTTTGCAGTTGATTGCAAGGACCTAAGATTAAATCCCTCCTTCACCAATGCCCTTCCCCGGAGGGTGAGTAAAAAGGGGTTTCGCGGATCAACTATCTAAATGCCAAATATAGACTATATCAACTAGGTCATAATATTTTCTACTAAGGGCAAAAAAGGGAGCACAATTGAAGTGTCAACATGATAACATATATATTTGAAATATCAACTGTGTACTTATCATATGCAATAAAATATTAGAATACTGGTGTTCCTATTCCAGAGAACTTAGATTCAATAATCTGAACTGAACAATATGAAATAGGGCCTATCAATAACAGAAACATAATCAAGAGTATTCATACTGAACATATCATTAAAATTGGAATGGTTTTTGATACAGGAAAACCACATTCAATCATTTATCAACAAAATACAAAAGTAAAATAGAATGAACCTGTGGGTCTTTGACAACGGAAAGTAGAACAGGTGAAGCAGTATGAAAGACACCATCACAGCCATCAATAGCAGAGTCAAATGAACCTTCTTCAAGGAGATCTGCCTTAAAGAGTTGCAACCTCTCTTTTGCACCTTCAAGTTTAAGCAAGTGCTCAACCTTTGTAGGATTACCTGCACAAAATAAATCACTCATAATTATTAATTAATTAATGCAACCATATCACCAATCATCAATATTAATATTAATCATATGGATATAATCTTAAGTATATATATACAGAATTACAAGCATATTAATTACAATTTTTGGTGAATGGTGAGAGTACTGACTTGGGTCTCGAACAGTGGCCCTAACAGTGTAACCACGTTGAAGAAGGAATTTGACGATCCACGAAGCTATAAAACCAGAAGCACCAGTCACACACACCACCTTACTAGTCTTGCTCATCCTCTTAATTATTATCTTTCTTCTTCTTCTACTTCTTCGCTATTTTATATTAAAGGATTTTAATTAATTAAAGTCATTATTATATCCGTTAATATATTAATTTAGGGATTAATGTTTATACATAAAAGGAATAATTATAGGCTTTTTGACCCTTATAACCCTTAATTAATAACTAATTACCAAATTGCCCTTCATTCAAAACTATTTCGAAAATTTACCCTCCCCAACAAACATAACACCAATCTGCCCCTGTTTGACCGTTGACCACGAAGCCTACCCGGGTAAATTTTGAAACTTTTTATCTACCCGAGTATGTAGGGGTGTACCCGGGTAGAGTTCTTGAATCTGGGAAAATGGTTGAATTATTTACCCGGGTAAGGAGCAGTGTACCCGGGTAAACATCGACGGTAGGGTTTTAAAATATCCCAGCAGCCCCATTTCGAAAACCCACAAAAGGGGTACCCGAGTAGAGCTGCTGGAGGAGTGTCTTCTTGAGCGATTTCAGGCATAATCTTGCACCAATTCGTCTTGTTTCTGATCATCATTCGCGGACCTTGCAACCTCTCTGCCTTCTACCGATTGAAATCGATCAAAGGTGCATTTTTTTTTCAGTTTTTTCAATTATGTTATGATTTCTGTTCTGATTCATTGTATTTTCGTTTATATCATTTGATTCTGTCCGGATTATTTTATCAATTTGTATGTCATACGCTTACCCTAACCCTGAATCTAACCCTAACCCTAACCCTAACATGTATCTAATTTCTGATTTTGGTTATTTTTTCAGTTTAATAGTGTGACACAATGACCTCTCGACGCGTTTCAAAGCTGCCAGTGACCCATTCCGAGAGAAGAACCAAGAGTCGTCACGATGGGTCGTCATCCTCTCAGCCCCAGGCTGCTTCGAGTCAGGCTCCGGACTTGACGTTCAGATATTTGTTTGAGGATGACATACCTTCACACGAGAAGTTCGTGAAGTTTTTCATGACCCGGAAGATCTGCGAACCGAAATCACTGGATTCGGCATTCTTCAACCTAGAGCGTTTTGACATTGTGCCGCTTCTTGAGCAGACACATTTACTTCACCTGGCGGAGATGCGGTGCCCATACTCGGAGGTTATGGTAAGAGCCTTCTACCAGAACCTTGGCTACTCGCAAGGCGAGCTGACTTCCCGTGTCTGCGGGATTGATATCATCATGACTGCTCCTATCTGGACGGAGCTACTGGGGTTCGATTTTGATGGTGTCACAGGAGCAGCACTATATGATGGAGACAGCCATCATATATTTGGTGATTATAACCGGGAGACCATTGTTACAGAGACTAGGAGGGCAGACGCTGAGCCCGGTCATTTTGCTCATTATCCTGTTAGCAACTTGTCAGTTTCTGCTCGCATTCTTCATTATGTGGTGACACATATTATTTTCCAGCGCCCGCATAATCACTCAAAGGTGCTGGAAGGGGACTTTGTCATCCTGTGGGCCCTCCTTCACAGTCAGCAGGTGAACTGGAGGCATTACATATGCATACTGATGTGGAAGGCAGCCAAGTCAAAGAAGGTTGAATTGCCTTTTGCATTTCTGGTGCAGAAGATTCTGCATAGATTTGGAGTACCTATGGCAACAGAGACCTTGAAGACCGCCAGAGGCTGGAATGCTATATTTGGTGAGAGGCTCCTGAAGCAGTGTGGGATCCTACCGAACAGAGCGGGTATCTGGACGTGGAAGAAGGCACCAGAACCACCTGAGATCCCATTCCACCACGATGCTGAGATGGAGGATGCACCTGCACCTTATTCACACACTCAGATAGGTTAGTTGTCATATGACCAAACCTACGTCCTGTCTCATCATACGACCTGCACCATTGCTCTTTCGGAATCGCATCCAACCATGAAGCAACTTCAGGATTGTTCTCGATAAATTCCTTGTACCTAATGTCGAAATTTATCTTTGAACATGTGTACCCTGCAAAAAACCATGACATATGCATTGGTTAGTGAATTTCATCAACGTTTTCTTCAAATGGTTGAAAATGTGAGTAATTATACCGTACATTACCTAATTTCATCAACGTTTTCTTCAATTCCACATTCCTAAAACGGGTATTGAAGTTGCTTCCGATGTGACGTAGACAAAATACATGATAAGCATATGGAGGCTGCCACCCTCCGTGATCTTTCACCGGCCTTATGATGCTTCGATGACGATCGGATATTAGACAAATATCATGCCTATGTGTGACATGAAAACGTAAAAGGCTAAGAAACCAGGACCAATCATCCAACCTCTCACCTGGAGGAACAACAACAAAGTCAATAAGGATGAGCTCAGAAATTATTTACAGTATGAAGTGGCAAAGAAGGGTCACATGCTTTCACATACCCCAAAGCAAAATTATTTACTCACCTGGAGGAACAACAGCAAAGGCAATAGGGAGCAGAAATCCATCTCCATCCTAAGATGTTGCAATCAATAGAGTACCTCTGTACTTCCCATACAGATGAGTGCCGTCAATTTGAATTATAGGCTTGCAGTGTTTGAATGCTTCAATGCATTGGTGAAATGTCCAAAAAACCCTTTGAAATACGGCCCTGTCTGTATAAACCCGACGTTCATCAAAACATTGATTTGTATCAAGTTTGAACACAGAACCCACATTCACCTCCGTCATATACTTCAGCCAATTTGGCAAGAATGCGTACGATTTCTCCCAGTCACCAAACAACTTAACGATGGCCTTCATTTTTGCCTTCCAGGCCTTCCTGTACGTTATGTTGTATCCATATGTTCCCTGTATCCTCTCCTGTATCAGAGCTGGTCTTGTGGATGGATCTTCCTTTAACATATCTGGAAAAAAAAATAACTTTACCATATTCTCAATTAATCTGAATCATTAAATACACAGTAGAATACATACTCATTATAGCCGCACAAATGACATTTGAATCCAACTGTCTATGATCCTGTGCTAGGCCTTGATTTAGGCATGTGTGACCTTGACCCCATTTACGGACCACCCAATTAGCTCCCTTCTTCGGCTTAATTGCCCTCATATACCAGGGACAACCTTCAGCATGGTTTTTACACTTCATAACAAATCTTGACTCGTCGCTTTTTTCAACTATGGCTGTCCTGCGCCCCTTCATACAATGTATCTTCACAGCATGTTGCAATTCTGGTTTGGACCCAAATTCTTGTTGCACAAATAACGGATCTCCTAACTTCCAACCTCCGTGCAAGTCATCATCGCCATATAGGATCTCCAACTCGTCATTAGGGTGCGCCCAGTTAATGAATGAATAATGTTGGCTTTCATTCCAGAATGGCTCCTCAGACCCTGCATCTAAAGATCAACTCTCATTTGTCTGAATGAATACCACCACAAATAATAAATTGTCTAAAGCAAATGTTCAAATTTAATAACTTACCACTACTGACTGGGTCGACATGAAGTGGTGACAAGGCTGGGGTACCGAGACTTACGGCGCTCATGTCAGCCTCAAAATTACCGTCCACGTCAATGTCTGACGAATCACCTTCTGGAATAGCACTTTCAGGTTCTCCCTCATCTTCGCTGTCCACATAGTCCTCGTCTTCATCCTCTTCATCCTCATCCAATGCTACCTGAGGAGGTGCAGAAGATCGTACAACTGTATCTTCTTGACCGGTATAGTGTGCAGTAGTGGTTGTATGCACCGGTAAAGATGAAGATTGTCCAACATCAACTTCAACATATATCTCAATATATTTTAATACTTTCCATTCAACAAACGCATCTGTTACGAACTCCACATCTTCATCATCATTTATATCGTTTCCAATGTAGTATATTGTATCCATATCCACTACAGTCTCTAACCTGGCTATCATGCGGTGGATGGAATGTATGCCTTCTGACCCCATTTTTTGAAGAATTCTCTCCTTCAGTTCATTGCATGTAGTGCCCACTTTGATTTTCATCGTTTTTGTTTTTCCTTCAAATCGGACACCGTTCGGACCTTCAAAATGCCTCCCATTGTAGTAAATAACTATAGGAACCATGTTTGGACTTGAACTCATCTTTCACACAAAAATTAGATCTAGGTTTTGGGTTTGGAGGTTGGTTCGGATTTTTTAGCACAAAATGGGAGTGTGGAGATGTAATCTCAATGTCCCACCAAGATTCAGCTTTCTGAAATGATGAGATGAAATATGTGTGATGTTTCGGATTAGAGAGGGTAAGAGAGAAAGATTTGGGGTTTCAAAAACCCTATACCTCGCAACAATGGCTGAAACCCATACATATTGGGGTTTCTGGACGCGATTTACCCGGGTACACTGATCCATACCCGGGTAAACAATTCAACTATTTTCCCAGATTCAAGAACTCTACCCGGGTACACTCCTACATACTCGGGTAGATAAAAAGTTTCAAAATTTACCCGAGTAGGTAATGATGTACCCGGGTAGGCTTCGTGGTCAACGGTCAAACAGGGGCAGATTGGTGTTATGTTTGTTGGGGAGGGTAAATTTTCGAAATAGTTTTGAATGAAGGACAATTTGGTAATTAATTATTAATTAAGGGGCATAAGGGTCAAAAAGCCAATAATTATTTATATATATATATATATATACACACACATGTGTGGAGTTCATATTTTTTTGTTTTTTTTATATGATTTTATATAAATTTTACACATTTATATATATATATAAGAGATAAAATTTATCTCATAAAAAATAATAAACATTATTCCCATTAATTTATCGAAGGACTAAGATAAAAAAAAAACAAGTGAAATTAAGCTAATAGAACTTATTTAACTGGGTCCCGCTCGGCATTAGATGTTAAAGACTTGATATAAAGTTTGATACTTTGATGTAGATATCATAGCACGTGCTTGAATCATTTGGTCAGAATTCGAAACGACCAAGCTTTTCTGACATAGCTTCTGTCGTTTTGGGATATAAATTGTGATTAAATTAGAATAAATTGGTTTCCTTAATCTATTCTAATTAAAGCTTCCAAATTTTATTTTTTTCAAAAATAATAAAATCAGTTATACAGGGCATTTTTTGTTTTTAAAATTAATTTTTTTAATTTTGGAATAAATAAAAAACTTGTTTCAAAAAACCTGTTCTAAACAAATAATTTTAAAAATTATAATTATTTTTATGTTTTAAAATCAAATTTAAAAAACATATCTAAATTATTTTTATTTCGTGTCAAAACTCAAAACAGTTTTAAGAAAAGAAAAGAAAAAAAAAAACCCTTTAATTTTCCATGGTTCGAGCACCGACGTTGACAAAGCGAGATTCACTTTATAAAGTAGGACAACTATTAAACATTCGGTTTGTCAATGTGTGCATTTTACACAAAAAATGTTACCATACTTTACCACAAAAAAAAAAAAAAAATGACCGACTTATAAAGAAGGGATATTACTAAACTTACACTACTAAAATTTTGCATCCACTAAATATTATGTTATCGACTTATAAAATTTTATGTATTTAAAAATCACTTTAACTATTAAAAAAATAGTTCATATTTAATCAATTTTCAAGTAAATAATTTTCATTAAAAATGAATAATTTGTTTACTTTTTATATGTACAATAGTACAATACCAATCTGTGTTAATTTTTAGTAATAATTGTTTGGAGCTAATATAAATTCTAGATTTTTTAAATTAATATTAAATTATCGTGTATATTTTTCTTTACACGGAAATAATTTAGTCCTATTAGTATTTATGTATCTTTATTGACGCATAATTTTTTTTTTGTGTGGACATAAATTAAATTTTAATTCTTTCGTAAGGCATATTTATATATATTTTTTAAATTTTCTATGTATAGAGAGTATTTTTCAAAAACTCAAACGTTGAATAACAAATAATTATAGTTTAATTATACGAATTTATTACTCTTATGTTACATACGATAGAATCTATCTTCTACACACACAAATTCAAGATATGTTCTATTTTATTTTATTTTTCTCTACCTATGAAAGTGAGTCCCACTTGCATAATTGATTCAGTAGGAGATAATACTTGTCTTCTACTGCATGAAAAATCTATTACCCTAATTATATTTACGTGATTTGTAGGGTGTTAAAAAAAATTAAACAAAAAGATATATTTTTTTTTTTTTTTTTTGTATACCATATTTTTTTTTTTTTTTTTAATTTAGCATAACCCATAAATGCTATAGATATTCATAAGGCATTGCATTATATAGTGTCTTGTGAATGGCCTTTTTCCACTGAAATAACGGTGCCAATTAAATGAAACCTCAGTTACTGCTTAAACAAGACATTTTTATTAATTTTATATTATATTATTCCGCAATAGAAATGGATACACAATTGATTAGATAAATAAGAGAAACTTAGGTTAACAATGTGTGTATGAAACATTTGATCAGGTTTCTATGTAGCACCGATATTGACACGGACACGTGACACGATACAACACGACACTCCGATACGTTAATTTCAAAAAATGTTAGATTTCGACACGTTAGGACACGTTTTGATATTAAATAATAATTTTAATTTATGTAGTATACATCATATTTAATATTCAATAGTTTAACAAAAAAATGTATCTAAACTTATAATATTCATAAATTTTGTTAAGAAACATAAAATATCCCAAATATTTATATTAAACTCAATAAAATGGTAATCGTAATCCAACGAATCTAATAGTTGGAACCAAAAACTCAACGCAACTTAACCTTTGAACCCTTTTTTAAATTTCTATAACGTGTGTTGGAGTGTCAAAGTGTCTGAGAGTGTCGAAAAGTGTCGGACACGACACGTCAGGATAGGATTTCAACAAGACCAATTGAATATGATTCCATGACGAGTGCGCTTATACATCTATCGGCTGCTAAAACTCAGTCTTTGGTACCATAAATAAGTTTTAGTCTCTGTCATTGAAAGCATATTTGTGTGTCCTCCTCAAGCAAAAAAAATTAAACATAAAAGAGAAATTCAAATTCGCTTGACCACACTTGAAATGCATTTTATTATTCTAAATGCAAAGCAAATTCAAAGCGACTTGTTTTGATTTAATACAACCTTTATTAAAACAGTATTAATCTCTTCTCCACCAACTAAACATGGTCGAAAGTATATCTCAAGTATCAACATTTTCTTTTCAAGGAGATATCACATGAATTAAAAGTTGACAATCTTCATTGCTTTGAAGCTTTCCACAGTTTCCTTGAGGCTCACTTCCAAAGGAGTAAATTCAATTCCTAAGCTCTTTGCCTTTTCTTTGGAAACCTGACACATTTTCACATACGACCTACTGTCCTCACACCTGATCATAACATTGTTGAGAAAGTAAAAAAGCTATTAGAAATCAAAAGAAAAATGAAAAATTTACAGACTGTTTGAATTATATTTTCAAAAACAGTTTTTATTTTTTTATTTTTTTTAGAACAAAAAAAAACATGTTTGATAGAGCCTCTGTTTTGTAAAAATAATTTTAAAAATTATGATTGTTTTTTAGTTTTTAAAATCAAATTTAGAGAATATGTTTGGGTTATTTTTATTTTATGTTTTGGTTTTTAATTTTCAAAACATAAAAAACACATAAAACACTTGCTTCTATAAATATTCTACAAAACAGTTTTAATTAAGAAAAAAAATTAGAATACTATCAAATAGACCCGTAGTTATTTAAATGTTGAATACACAAAAAATTACAATATTGATTACAAAATTATGTGTCATGTAGAATTAATTTACAGTAATCAATAACCCATGATTTTG